CTAGTCAAAGAAGAGGCAGAAGGGGATCTCGAAGAAAAAGAATTTGTAGTCGAAATAATTCGTTGTCCTGGGGGCATTAAGGGTTCTCTTTCTGGTGAGTGAATATCTACAGAGAAATTGCGTGTTAATAAAGCACTTGATTGACTTAAAGAATTAACATCCCGTCTGTTTTGATTGTTTGTTGTTTTTCTCTCAGAAACTTTAACAGCATTGCCCTTAATCCCTCCATTTGTTCCTGTTTCTTCCAAGAGAAGAACAACAGATGGAGGAGGTGTCCCTTGTCCTCCTCCTTGTCCGCTTCCATTTCTTTGTTTAAAATAATGTGAAGATGTATGTTCGGAGGAAGATTTTGCTTGCTCTTTATTTTGCTGATAATGTTGTTGTCCACTACTGTTGTTTTGTAAAAAACCTGGCCGCATTAAAGCGAAAATTCAATGGAAAAGTTGGTTCCAGTCTGTCGTATTTTTTAAATATTTTTTTCTTTAATGAAAACTAAAAATAGGTATTTAGTATTTTTAAATTTTTCTTAGGTAAAAAAGAAATGTGAAAGTACGAGAAAAATAATCTTTGTTTTGAATATTTATTTTGAATATTTTTAATTTAAAATTTTTTATAAATTAAAATGTTGTTGTTTTTTTATTATGAAGAATTATAAGTAAAAGGAAGTAAATAAAGAAGATGGAAAATTCTAGGAAAAATAAAAGAATATATCTTATTAGAAAAAATTGCGGAATTTATTTTGTACTAAATTTGTATTTTGTAGAAATCCATTAAAAATATTCCAAAATAACAACAAAATATCTCCAGGGGATATTCCAAAAAAATTATTTCTATATTTAATGTCAAACTATTTTTAGTTTTAAATTGTAAACAAAAAGAAAATAATAGAAAATAGTTATTTTAAGATATTTATTTATCCTTCAGATATCGGAAAATTCTGACGAATTTTCCGATTTTTTTCAAATTTATTTAAAAATTTATTTAATTTCTATTAAGCTACAGATAAACTACATACTTAATTATTTAAAAGAATAAAGTCAAAACAAAAGAGAGAGTTTTACATAAAAATATTAAAACCATTCGGTTGCCATAATGAAGCCAGGTGTAAACAAATAAAGTAATTAGAAAATATCTAGTATAGTTAATCCAAAAAGTGTTAGCTGCGCAGGTTTAGCTAATATTAAATAATAATTTAAATGAAAAAAAAGGAAAAAAAGGTAAAAAAATTATTAAATAGGGGGAAATTTAGAATTAAAGTACTCATAAACTACCTTAAAAATAATATGAAAATTATAGAAAATATTATGAAATATTTCGTTCCAGGAATATACGAGGTAATAATATCTTTTAATTTCTAGACAGGTGAATAAAAATAGTTAAAATTAATAATAAAATATTAATTACACTTAAATAAAGATCTAAAAAATATTTTTAACAGTCAAAGAAATTATTTTGTTAAAAATAAGAATAGATTTTTTAAAAAATATATTTATAGAAAATATGTATATTAATTTAATTTTTTTATAACAAAAATGTGGAAAAATAAAAAGAAAAATTATGATAAATGAGGTTAAAAGTTTTAGAAGAATTAATGACAGAAATTAATGCTTATATTAATATACATACTATTAAATTATTTATTAAAATTAAAGAGAAATAATTCAACATATAAAAAGTAATTAAGCAGAAAAAAATAATTTAAACAGTATAATTAAAAATTAATAATTTTTATGTTTAAAATAGTTAAAAATTAACGAAAACAAATAATATCTAAAAATGTAAAATATTCTTTAAGAAAAAATAAATAAATAAAAAATAATTTTCAAAAGAAAATGTTTTGCCGTAGAAATTAGAAGAAATAGTCGCTCCTTATTGAATGATGTGGGGGGAAGGCAAAGTATTGCCAAGTAAAAGGTGCCAACAAGAGGAAAATGTCAACTACATATAAACACACAAACACGAGGTTCAAAAGGCCAAACATTGCCAAATTTAGCATAAAAAAATTTTTTTGTTGGTTGGTAAAAAATAAAAATTATTAGGAAATATCTAATGTGGTTTTCTGATATTTTTATGGTTAAACTACATATATTTTTTTGGATTAATTTCTCACAGTCCCCTATCCTTATCAAACAAAACTATATCTATAAACTAATATAAAATTTATAAAAATATTAAATATAAAAGTAAATATTTTTGTTTTTCCTTTATTTTTTACTTAAAAAACCTCTACTATTACGTAGTAGAGAGTGTTAATATTATTATTTATTTGTATATATTTTTAAATAAAAAAAACTAATTGGTTAGCGCAATTCTTTAAAAGGAAATAAGGTTTTAAATTACAAAAAATTGGCGAGGAAAAATTTTTTTTGTTAGAATGTTTGGACTTTAAAAATATTTATAAATTGATTTAGAAATATTTTTAATTTAAATTAAAAACAAGGAAAGGCATTAAAGATGTGGAAAGATCGTAAAAATTATAGTCAAAAATATTATTTAAAATCCTTTCAAAATTTAATGAACATTTCCCATCTACAATAAATTTAAAGAAATTTAGCAATACAAAAAAGCTTCTTTTTAAATAATTTCCAAAATAAATTATCATAAAAAACCTTAAATAAATGACGAATTTTTTAAATTTCTTCGATTTTCAAAATTGGAAAGAAAAAAAGGAAAGAGAACTTTTATTGCCCGCAAGACTTTTTACTCTCCAATTTTACTCCAAAAATTGTTCTCAATTTCCATTTACAAAAAGTTGGTAGATAAAGGATATTTATACATATATCCCTCCACACCTTTAATGTTGATAAATATATTAATTTTAATTGCTAATTAAAAACTGCAAGATTAATTTTTGCTGTATCAAAACAAAACCCCAAAAATAGAAACAAAAAAATAACAAAGATTAATTAATAATCAAAAAATATATTTTGGTATTAAATTATTTGATTAAACATTAATAAACATATTTTTGATAAAAAATAAATAAATTATTTTAGGAAAAATCTAAAAATATTCTTTTTTGATTTTTAATTTATTTTTGGTCTTTTTTAAATTTTATGTAAATTTGTTTTATATAATAAAACAAATTTACATTTATTTCCAAGTGATGAAAAGGAAAGAAGAATTTTTACATTTTTGTGAATAGTTAAAATAAAGTTATTAATTTATTATAAAATTTTAATGCGGATGTTTGTTAGGATTGGCGGGTCCTGAGAAATATTAAGAATCTGGAAAGAATATCCGAACTAAAAATTTATAAATATACCTTTTCGGATTTGGATATCCGAAACTCTTAACCTCAATGATTGAATATTGAACTAAAATTAGCATTTAAAGGGTCACATGATTACAGGTCCCATTTTAAACATTTATTTGGTAATCAAAGAGTTGCCCTACTATTATAGGAATCTGTTTTGTGTATTGATATTGGGAGTAAGCTGCGTCTTAAGACTAGTAAATTTTGGATTTTGGATATCTCTATTAATTTCTAACATTAAATTGTTCAAAAAGAAATAAAATTTTTGTTTAAAATAATATATATAATATATGAATGCTTATCGCTTGAAAAGTGCATTTCTTTTTTTATTTTTTTAATTTAGGCTTGGCATTCACGCGAAATTAATTAAAAAAAGCATGCGAAGAAGCAAAAAACAAAAAGTGAAATTAATGTGTTGAGAAGCCTTTCTTAGTTAGAAGAGTGTGGAATTAGATAGATTAGCGAGAATAAAAAATAAAAGAATGGATTAAAAATAAATATTTAAATGTTGAAAAAAATACAGAGAAAGTAATCGTTGGATTGGGGAAATAGTATTTAAAACCGTTGGCAGGGTAACAATAATAAAAAATAATTAGAAAAAAAAACAAGTCTGGAAATTACTCATTTAACTTTTTTAAAGTTTTAAAATTTAAATGAATTTTTGAAATATTTGTGTAAATATAGAAAGCCGGATATAGTAGTAAGTTTAAAAAATACATATACTCTTTATTTTTCCAGATAAATTTTTTATTAAACTTTTCTCTTTCCCCAATAAAAATAATTTTTATTTCCCCTATTTTAATTTAATATTCAACTTCCGTTTCCCCATTGTTTGTCGGCAAAAGAAACCAAAAATGGCAACAATTTTTTTTGACTTTTTATTTAAAACTTTCCCGTGGTTTTTAAACAATTAAAATAATTAAATATATTCCAGGACTTTTTTAAAATTTATTTTAAATAAGGAGATAATAAAAATTAGAATATAAAATGATTGGGAAGCTATTTTGGATTTTTTAAAGAGACCAATTACAACTATAATTATGATAGAATTAAATTAACAATAATCGTAATTGAATATAGATAGCTAGGTGTGGCTTTTTTGATCCTGATGTGAAAATTAAAAAATTTTGAAACGACAGAATCGCCCTAGCTATAGGCTTTTATTCACAATTTTGAAATTTTTGAAATGCAAATTTAGAAATAAAACAATAATTTTTGAAAAAAATTTTGAAAAAATATATGGATTTTCTGTTCTAAAAATATTTAAAAAAGACTAGTTTTCAAACACCAATAATTGAATAGTTAAAATTTTTTAGAATTTTTATTCCCAATTTTGTCAAAAGCAAATATTTTCCATGCATTTTAAATTTATATTTAAACAAAAGAATTACTAAAAAAAGACTAAAAAGGTGTGCTCTAAATAATAATTCTTAATGGAATTGAATAAATATTTAAAAAAAAGGAAAAAATTGAATGGAAAGTTAAAAGAATAAATAAATAATTAATTTATTATATTCTTTTTAAAATAATTATATTTATCAATAAATATATTAAATATTTAATTATTTTAAAAATAAATTATTATAGAATCTCCCCCCCCCCTCCTCCCCTCACTCCCACCAATTACTTTCCAATAATTAAAATAAAAAAATTTTACATCCAAAAATAAAATATCTATCTTATCCCTTTACACTTTTAATTTCTAAAAAACACATCCACACCCTACACATTATTTTTTATTTTCTCAATTCAATAAATCTTCCAAAATAATTAAAATCCCCCCACCTTCCAATTTTTTGTCAGGTTCAATAATTATAATTTGTTTTTGTTGGTCAAAATTATCTGATTTAGCTGTTAAAGGTGTATCTATATTTGTATTACAAACAAAGTTGTTATTATTTTGTTCAGACATTGCGAGGTTAAAACAGCTACTTTTAAGGGCTGCTGGACCTTTAAAAATAAAAAAATAAAAATTAATCATTTTTAGTTCTTTTAAACGAAAATTGGGATTTTTCTGTTTTTATCAAAAAACTAGTCAGATTCTAGCTTAAACCATCCTTCTTTTAATCAACTAAATTATACACATATGTATTCTTTAATTCCATAAATTATTTTTTTTTATTTATTAAAATAATTATAAAATTATTTTCTCTCTCTTACCAACAAAATTATTATTTAATCTTCCTCCACTTCCAATAACTTCATTATCATCATTAGTTTTTTGTAAATTATTTCCAAAAGGTGTAGCTCCGGCAATACGTGAACCAGCGGCCATTATAGCAGAAGCTGTATTGACAGCCGAAGCAGCGACTGCTGGGGTGGCTATTGATTGGAATGGACGGTGATTGGGCAGACTTTGAATTAATTGAGAGAATAAATTAAAGGAAATTTTTTGGGAATTTTTGAATGAAAAAAAAGGAAATCAAAAATATTTTTATATTAATATTCAGGAAAATTCCTCTCTATTAATTCAATAATTCAGAATTTAAAAAATAATTAAAATTAATAATTCCTTTTTAATTTTAATGAATTTCAAAAATTAAATATTTAAAAATACTAACGGAGTGCTTGCAATTGAACTAGCTTGTTGTAAAATATTTTTAAAAGGAGCAATAGCCCCATTCATTAACTAAAAAATGTTTATTTTTAATTTTATTTTTTATTAAAACTTGCCATCCATTCTCGAGAAATCTGAAAAATAATTTTTATAAGTAAAATAAATTTTTAAATCAAATAGATTTTAAATAAACTCTCTCCAAACCAAAATAATTTTCTAAATCGACTACCTCAGTCAAATAAGTATCACGTAAAGGCCCACCACCAGCATTACTTAAATGACTAGAATGGTCCCCCTCATCAAAAGAAGAATGTGTAGACCGTCCAGTTCGAAGATTATTGTTTAAGTGATGATGATGGTTTTGATGAACAGAAGAAACTCCTGGGCAGGAAGGATGGCCAGAACAACCTTTAAAAAATAATTTTAATTTTTGTCTCAAACATATTTTTTTATTAAACTTTCAGTATTTTCATTATAATTTTGTAAAGAAGAAGATGATTTTATTTGTGTTTGTTTATTGAGATAAACTGTTGGTGAATTATTTATTGAAGAAATTATTTTAGATCGGGATTGGGAAGAATTTGTTGTAGTCATTTAATAGATAACTCTACTTATGTATTTTTTAAATTAACAAAAGAAAATGTTTTAAAAATTATTTAAAATATTTTTACTTAATTAATTACAGAGGGTAATTAATATTTAAATCCTTCGCTGACAAAGAAGAGGCTGTGGGGTGTCTGTGGGACTTAGGGATGAAATTTGGTAGACAGATAGATCATACCCTACTTTAGTTGTGAATTTTGAACCATTTTCGCTGAATAGTACCGTGGACCGAGTTATAACCAAATTTCATCCCGAAGTCCCACGGACAAGCCACAGCCTCTCCTTTGTGAGAGAGCAAATAAATAATAGGGATAGGTAATTAAAAGAGTAAATCTGTTATTGACAAAAAAATAAATGAAAAAATAAAGGTGAGAAACTCAGATATAGTCTAATTAAATAATAAAAACATTTTCTAAAATTGTGAGAAAAATTTTGTTAAAAAAATTTTTTTAATAAAAATATTTTTTTCTTTATCAAAGAAATACATATGCAAAAAGAAGACATTGAACTTTTGAGGGGGATAACATTTAAAATTTTATTTTTTCAAAATTATTAAAAAAATAATTTTTAAAGAAAAAAGAAGCCTTCCTTCGAATAAAGCTTTTAGGTATCTTGTTGAGAAAAAGAGGATTATTACCGATGGTTTCCAAGGCGTAAAAGCAAAATAAATTAATGGGATTCTTAAAGGATTTCCTTGTCTACAAAGAAAAAACAAAAAAAAATTCAAAATTCAAAAAGTCAATAAAATAATTTTAAGAACACGAAATAAAAAAGGAGAAGAAGAATAAAAAATAAATTAAATTAAACTTTTGGTTTTTAGGAAAATTAAAAATATTTTTAACAAAGAAAGCACGCAATTTAAAAAATGAAAGATTTATAGACCGTAGAAAACAAAAAAGGTTTTTAGAATAATTAAAAATAAATGGCAACAATTAAGAAAAATTAAAAGTTTTTTTAGTTAATTTATGACAAAAATATTAACAAAAAAGAACAATCCATCATTATTTCCTAAAAAGTTCATTTTATAGAGAAAAAAATGTTTTTAGCCGGAAATATTGAAAAAATACTAAAATATTTATTTATATAAAGTCACTTTTTTAAATAATACAACAAATAATAAATATAATTATTGGAGGGACCAGCTGGAAATATTTTTAAATAAATGGAACAGTCTAGAAGACATAATTATTTAATTAAAATTGAAGAACAAAAAATAACTAAGAGAATCGAGTTAAAGTCAGTTGAATCTCATTAGTGTAGTTCCATACAATCTCACTAAAGTGGGGGTATCGCTTAGTCATCCCTCATCCCTAATTATTAGCCAACCACATTAAATCTTAAAAAAGTTTTGTTCTTGTTTACAAGAAGACAAATATTAAATTTTAAATGTCATAAAAATTAAAATAACCAAATATCCAGTTTAACCAAAAATAACTAAAAGAAAAAACAGCTAAAACAACAAATATAATGAAAAGATTTTGAGAAATAGATAAATTTAGAATGTTTTTAAGTACCTAGTACTATCTAGTAAATAACAAAACAAATAATTTAAAGTCATTGAAGTAGTGAGTCCTAGGGGACCGTCGTCAAACGCCATTTTTTCGCGCACTTTTCAAAAGGTATTGGACGGGTTTAGTGGTCATTTATTGGATAATCCTAAGGGTAAGGAAGGGGTTTTAGCGGTAATTAGTATTTTAACGATGACACAACATTTTTCGCGCATTTTCCAAAAAGAATCGGATTGGTTTTGGTGGTCATTTGTGGGTGAAACCCACAGGTAGAGGGGTGTTTTTTGGATGTAATTAGTAAAAGAGAAAGAGTGAGGATGGTGGTCAAATGGAGGAAATGAAGTAACCAATGCCTTTAGAAAGGGTTAAACGGATGGAAAAATTTTTTTATTAAAGGAAGTGAAATAAATAAAAATTAATTAAATTTTAATGTTTAAAATTTCTTTTTTAATTTTACATTTCTGTTTTATCTTTTTACAATAATCTATGTTTATTTTATTGAAAATATATATTTTAATAAATAAATTTTTTAATGAAACAATGTGTATATTTTTGTTGATCAAATAAGATAAAACTATTTCCTAAAAATTTTCACACATTCTATGGCCATGTCATCCTTTGTTTATAATACAGCTATTTATTAATAATAGCAAAAAAAAAACAAAAAGCAAGATTAAATCTTAAATAATATAAACATTTGTACATATGAAAAAGCTTAAGGCTGGGCGTTTACAAAAAATACAATTTGGATACTTTTGGCCTATTATAAAAATATTAAAATTCTCTTATAAGCATTTTTGATATTTTTTTGGCCTATTATTACTAAATATTATTCTTCTCTTTAATTAAAATTTAAAATGTCCAATTTTACTGAATTATTCCCAACAAAAATTCAATGGATATTAGTTAATAATTGTTCTTGCGCGAAAGGGGTTTGCATGAGACCATCCACCTACAGCAAGCCGATCGAATGCATTAGCGAGAAATTTTCGGAAGATGTTTTAAAGTATTTAGCTGAAGGAGATACAAATTTTTGTTTGGACAATAGCTTTTTCTTTTATGGAGTGTTTGGATTAGCATTTTTAGTGCTATTTTTACAGGTCCTTTCTAATTATCCTTAATTAAAATTATTTAAATATAAAAATATATAAAAATATATTTTCTTAAAGCTGTTAAATCTATGTTTTGTCGTCAAACGTGAAACTCGTCGTAGTGAATATACTATTACACAAAAGAAGAAGAAGAAGAATGTAAAGGAAAATAAAGTGGAGGAAATTGAGCTCAAACAATTTCGACCACTTACGATTGACTGTCGCCAAAATCCTACTTTAGGAATTTTAAAAGAGTCGACTTCGGTAATTTTTAAATTAAAATAAATTTAAATTAAAAAATTTTTTAAATACTTAATTTTACTCAATTACAGAAAACTCGTTATTAATAAGGTAGATTTTAACTAATTAAAATTTTATTAAGAAAAATATTAAAATATTAAAAATTATTAAGACAAATATTAAATTTTATTCAGACAAATATTAAGATTTTATTTAATTAAAGGTCAATGCTAAATATTAATAAGAGATTGAGGAAAGAATTACTAAAAATGAATATTAAGTAAAAAATTTTTTTAAATAATTGTAATGATAGAACGCTTACTTTTATTGGCTTTCAGTCAATAAGATTTTTAAATATACAATTTAATAATTTTAATTTAAATTTTCTTTTGGCGTTCTATCATAATAGTATAATAATTGCACGATATTTGGTATTTTAAATAAGTTAAGTAATTAATGAAATTTTAATTTTAAGTAATTAATGGATTTTAATTATTATTAATTTTAAGTAATTAATGGATTTTAATTATTATTAATTATTTTAATGAAATAAATGAAAATTTAATTTACATTTATTATTCATCCTTTTTAAGTAAATTTCCAAAAGAAATTTTTTTCCCTCGGCGGCAAACACGCTTCGGTGTTTCTTAATTTTTTAAATTTATTTTTTACTTATAAATAAAACAGACCGACAATTGGTCCATTTGGAGAAATATTAATTTTATTATAAAAAATAGGAAAATATTTCTTCTTTTTTGGTGCCATTGGAGCTTCGACGGCTCGGCGTTTTTGAACTATTATTTATAATTAATAATATATTTTTAAATACCTTTTGTATTATTTTGACATTTCTAAATTATTAAAAATTAATCATAAAAATAATTTAAAATCTAACCACAATTTTTATAAAAATAATATCATCATCTTTATCATATCCATTAAAAATAAACTTTTGGCAACGGTTGAGTGATTTTGAACGTTTTTTCTAAAAATACATATTTATATGAGAAAGAAAAAATTATTCTAGTTTAAAATCACCACATTTTCTTTAATGCGATTTGGAAGCTCTACAGATCTCGAGCGTTTACCCTAAATTTTAAAGCTCATAAAAATTTATAAAAATTATTTTAATGAATTTAATTAGTTAATAATTATTAAAATATTATATAATTAAAATAACAAATTTGTTGATGTTATCTTGATCGAAGAAAGTCAGATTTGACAATCGAGAAATACGAGCAATGCGTGACATATTAACCATATTTTTAAAGATTTTTAAAATTATTTTGTAAAAATATTATTACTAACAAATTTTAAAATTTTAAGGAAAAATAGAAAAAAATTTATAAAAATACAAAATTTTGGAGAAAAAGTAAAAAGTTTAAAATATAGAGAAACACAAGAATGAATGTAAAAGTCAGTATTTGATCAAAGTAAATTTCTCTAAGATTTTACAATTTGTTCCTCTATTCAAGAGTTCAATTTTACTTTCGCTACACTTTTTGCTGTATTTTATATTTGTGTTTTATAACATTTCCTCACTAACATTTTACTGGTGAAAAAATAAACAATTGTCGGCGTTTCCTCTCTTAAACTTTTATTGTAGAAACTTTTATTGTAGAAAATTTTGGCATGTAAAAAAAGCAACTAAAAGAAATCGGTACTTTTTGAAAAAATTCTTTATAACTAAGTCAAATTTGTTAAAGTTAATTTAAAACAGTGGAAAAATATTTGTGAAAAAAATATATAAATTTATTTTTATATTAAAATTTTTTAAAATTTAAAAATTAAAATTTAAATAAAATTTGAAGTCTCTCTAATCTCTTGCTGTAATTATATTGTAAAAGGGGGAGTATTTTGTGGCAAGTTGGAAAAGATAACCGAACAATTTTCTCGACAAGTTAGATATTTCAATATATTCAATTCAGTTGAAAAAATATTTTCTTGTTAAAAAATTTTTTTACTCGAATATTTAATTTAATATTATTTTTAAAAATATTTTCTAAATTATTTTAATAATTTATATTATGAAAACAATATTTTAAATAATTTTTACTTGTTTCGATCTATTATTAAAATTTCTTGAATATTTCACTAAAAATAAATCAATCCTTTAGCAATTATATTCTCAGGATAAATATTTATCTCTTTA